AATTTTAAATTGTAACGGGGACACTTTTTTTTCCATGTTGAAGTCTCATATCCAGGAAATTGCAAAGCTGGATGCCAACCTGGTTCATCATATGGATAAAACAGAACATATGTCATGGGATCTAAGTTCGCATTCAAAATGCTTGTATTTTCCAAGCTTTGTGATCTCGACTAAATTCTTATATCCCTATGGAAATGTGGTTCCCCATCATCATTCTGGAAAATCATAGCAATTTCATCATTGTTTGGGAAATTATATCTTCTCGATCACGATGGCACAACATAGTAACATTTGCAATTGAATGATTTTCTTCAGCTGCTCTTTGCTCTTCTTCCCTTACAACTTCAACCCGTTTCCAGCCTCTTACAAAATGTTAAGTGATGTTTCTCAGTAAAGTGTCCAGGTTTTGCATTAAAGCGAGATCACACTGGCGATTTTGGGGATGACTTAACTGCTCTTCAACAATATCCAAAAGGCCCAATTGGATCTTGCATCTCCTCCTCTAGGTTGTAAATGAGGTGCTGGGCAATAAAACTGTCCATGGACTTGAAAGCATTATGGCTTCTGTCCAGAAACGGGTACAATTTTTGCTCCCAAAGATGCAAAACTTAAACAACTATTAAATGACTGAATGTTGCCCCGGAAGTTCTTGTAAAACATATGTTGTGGGTTGCTCATGACATCTTTCAATAATGGAGGAAATTCCTGGCGGTCAGGCAACTTTACTTGTACTTTGTGACAGCAATTTTTAAACTTTCTATCTGATGGCTGCTCAGCCACGAAGTTTAAAGAATGGCAAAATTGGCAAACGACATCCATTTCACCACGATAGTGGTGGCATAGGACATGCCTCCAGTATTGGCTCTGCTCTACCTTTAGCTACTTCTCCTACCTCATAGTTAGCTTTTAATTCTTTCAATTCTACTGTAACTTCTGCACATGGGGGTGGAGTGGATGGAGTAATTGGAGAGGGTGCAGTAGGTTGCACAGATATTTTACTTGGTTTCTCTCCATGCTCCTCTGTTTCATTCACTTTACTCTGGTTCATAACCAATTTTAAAACATTATTCTCGGCTGCTAAATGTTCTACCTCATGCAATAAGTGAATGATTCCCCGAGCTGCCTCTCCTAAGAGGGACAGGTAATTAGGTTTTTTCAAAGGACCTCCTGCTGCTTGTTTCCACCTTACTTCTAACTCTCTTAGTATCTCTCCTGCTCTTGAACACGTTATCTCCCTTGCTAATGGCAATTTTAACTGATCTTAAACTCCTTTCCCTAACACCTTTCGCATTATCTCTCGAAAACCTCCCTCTTCTTTTCTACTTTCTTTCTTCCTACACACCTTTACTTCTGGCTGTACTTCCTTATTTTCTAAACTCCAATCTTGTGGACCATATGATTTCTGAATTCCTCCCAGACAGCAACTTAAACTTTCTTGTGTAAACATAAAACTATACGTGATCGTTTCATCCTCATTATTAAAATCCCTTATATTTACCTTCCAAGTTCCCTCATTATCACTGTGGAACGTGCAACGCTGTAACACATTCACCCCATTTTGAAATGGGCAACCAGCGCATCCTGTTCGTGACGCCATGTCTCTAGTGGGTTATGGAATAGAGAAAATCCCACACAATTTACTGATTC